GCTTGTTCAGTTTTTCTATGTTGATTAAATTTTCTAAAATTAAATCTGGTCAGCTGTTCCTTTTTTCGAAAATGTAGCAAATTTTATAGAACACTGAATGCAAAGGAATACAAATTTGCTCGACATCGATTTCAAAAAAAATTATGAAAGCTAGAACATATCCGTATACATATGTATGATATTTTATAAAGTCTGCTTAAAAAACTATTTTATAAAAATGTTAGCCTCTCGACCTTGGCAGATGATTACATTGTCAACTTGATTACATTTTAAGACAATATTAGAGTGAAATACTTATTTACAAGAGATCTAATTGCAGAAAATCGTAAAAAAAAATAATTACAATTAAGAAAAAATCATCAGATTCCTGAGTGTAACTTCCTAACATCTTTTAGTTAAATGTAGCTTGTTTCGTGGCTGTGAATGTATTTTTCTTTTGCGTTAGACTGTATACTAGAGCCCTTGTTAGTTGACATAATCGGTTAGTCGAATAGCAAAAGTTTTACTTATGCTTATTGACCAAACCCAACCGCGCTAATAATAATGATTTTATGGTGAAAGACTGTCGCTATTCGAATAATTTCGGTTAGTTGATTTTCAGATACGAATTCGAACAGTTGATCGAATAATTGCTCTTCGAAAAAAAGCTGCTAATCGACTAACTGCATAGCCAGATAGTCGATTTTCAACAAGAGCTCTACTTTATGTAGTTATACAACTTTTATTGCAAGAAAGTATACTAAAACAATTAAGTATGTATGTATGTATGTATGTATGTATGTATGTATGTATGTATGTATGTATGTATGTATGCATCCAATTTGTGTGTGATGCAAAGCCGATGAGTTGTTATGATTTGGTTGACTTGAGTTAAACTTTAATTGACTTTATGCCTTCGTGTGCAATTACGATGAATGAGTGCGTACGTTTTGTAGGTGCATACATATGAATGTATGTATGTGGTCTTAAAACCTTATAGAATTCAAGCAAACATAATTATTTATGTAATTACAGTAAATACATACATAAGCATGAAATCAAGAATATACGTAAGTATTAAGTTTATACCAGACATGACGCAGCACACTTTTAAGTCTATACATATGTCCATATGTATATTTACTCAAAAAAAGTAAAAATAAAATACTTCTGCATGTATGTATGTATTTACGCTATAGACACTAATTTTATAAGCCTTTCAACGCACTTAGTATTAGTCATCGCCAACATAAGGATTTTATACAGATACTACTATGATATAAACCGCAACCACATAGATTTGGCAGAGTAGCCAGGAATTCATTTAACTAAATATTTAAAGCAATATTTGAATGTGTGTGTTATTATTCGAACTTAACGCTAAACATTAGACATGAAATCTGTTGATTAAGTAATAATTTATATGTAGTATGTAAATCGGCTTATCATTGATGCTTTCATTCGACAGGTTAATGGGTGAGTATAGTGAAGAGAGAAAAAATCGGTGCGTTTTCAATACAAATCGGCGCTTGTGAAAGTGTGCGTGGGCGGTGCACCACACGCCCTATGCAACGAGCTCATCCTTCTACGAGAGAATCCAAATTTGAGTGATGTTAAAATAACCAGAGCATACCGCTTCCTTGGCGGGCAGCGCGTTTTTCACTCGGAGAAATGTATCGCGACGACGCAAAATAAGTATTACACTGAGAGAGGCTGTTAGAAGTGCTGGGAGTTTAGCCAACGGTTTAGTAAGTCTGTAAACTAAGTGGGCCTACTTGCTAATTAAATACAAACATAGATTTTGAAAACTGTTACAATGTTAATGTGAGAAGAGTTAATGCTAGGCTAATTCGGTGTTTAAAATCTAAGATTAAATATTAATGACAATTAGTTATTAGTGGTCAATGCTTGTAGTTGATTTTCGGTTTATTTTTGTTGTTATATACATAGATAATCACTCTCAGTATGTACGCTTTTTAGTAAAAGTTTAATGCAAATGTTTTATTAATGGTCATTCTATTCGAAATCTTTTTTTTTTGTTTTGAGTAAAAAAACTTGTCTTTTTTGTTTTGCAATTCAACTAAATTATACATTTTTATTTGTTTGTTTTATGCATTTGAAAATTGTGTACAAAATTTGCGATTAAAATATATCATTTTTAAACGTATAAACATAATTTACATTTAACATGTTTTTCAGCTTTACACATTGTATTGAAAAACTAAAGAAAATAAACAAACAAGAAACTTAAGAACGTACACTAATAAATAAACGGTGTGTTCACGATAACTTTCGACTCGCAGCAAAATACATATAATATACGTAAATATAAAAGTTATACTTTTTACAAACGTTTGCATTTGTGCTTGAAAAGGCTTTGCTTCGAGGTTTTTTTTTGCAAAGAACATTGCATAGATTTTATATTTATGCTTTTATTTCTTTTCCAGGTAATTTTAATTTCAATACTTTCATACGATTACAATTAAATATAAAATCACTTACAAGCTAGATTTTTTTTGCACGTACAGCGTACTAGAATGCAAATTAAAAACCGTGTAAAAAATATATATGTATGTAGAATATGAAAACAAATTTTAGGTACAAACTAGAGAATTGGCCATGTCTACGCCTAATAACGGACCTTTACAAATATTGTTTAAAGAAAATAAGGTGTATGGCCCAATCAACGTCGATATACATATGCGCACGTTCATATATATCAATATGCATATTTCCCACCTAACATAGCTCTTACCGTACGTTCTAATCAATATGTAAGGCGAAAATATCTCGACACGTCACAAAGGCACAAGTCAACATACAAACAATTTAACCATTTTTATGTAGGTGTTGGTTGATTTTACCGACTAGGTGGTAAGATAATTTATTTTGGAACGAATAAATCATCTTAACCATTTTTGCTATCTTTCATTATATCTAATAATCTGCGTGAAAACTTGCTAAATTTTCGAATACAAAAATTGGCATATCAGTGTGGGCATGTAGATATTTAAGTATGTATGCACGTAAATCAAAAACACAACTCTGAAGAAATATGTATGGCAACACTTTTTTTTATAACTAAATAAAAATTGTATTGCATATGTATAAAAGCCTTGGGGCGCAGAAAGGGCAATGGGAGAGCTTTGCAAGCTATTATTCTTATTTGCTGAAAACGAAAAAAAAAATCTAAAAGAAAATAGTAACGGGTTTGCAAAGTGAAAATCAAAAGAACTTCGGATAAAGTTTTAAACAAAAATTTTTAAATTTGGTGGATAAGGCAATTTAAAGACAACTAAGGGCTGTTTTCACTGTGTACAGTTAACTCAGTTGACTATAGGCTTTCATACCAAAACTTTTATATGAAAACGGCCCTAATTATTTGCTTACAATTTGCTTGCTCGTAAAAATTAAGCAAACAAAATCAATTTCAACAAATCAAACATGATCACATAATGCTAATAATTCTTTTTCATACTTAAATGATTCTAACTCGATTGGTAGAAACAGAAACTGAGATATATGTATTAATGTATAACGGTTTATATATTTAAAGATTTGTGATAAATTTTCGCCACAATAAATACGTATTCTAAGCGCTTTAAGTTTTATGGAGTAAGAGCTTTGGCTACAGAATTTTAAAACCTTCGGCAAATATTCTATGCAGATTGGTGGCAGTTTTACGCTTCTTAGCTAAAGGTATCCACATGTTATTGCAAAAGACTATGCAATATTTAAAGTGCATAATTGAAATTATTCGTACGCTTATATACGTCATTTCATTATTATTTTTGTAAAACTCGGTCAGCTACAACACCACTTGCTATTCCGTAAAATACTTCAAATTGATAGCCTACCAACATAACGAATTACGAAAGTAGCCTACGAATTTCGAAATAACAATACGGCGACACGAATAACAGCATACCAATTTCCCGATCCGTAACAAAATCGAACGTACGACAGTTTACAGCATAGGCGTGTATATATTTTTTATTACTTATATTTTGTCTTAAATTTTGTAACAATGCCTCTTCCACCAAATATTGAAATGTTTGATGCTGTAACAGATTGGTTAATTAAATTTCCTCAAAAACTTTCCCATTGCCCTATAACAGCCACGCATTAAGAACAAAAATGTCGAGTGTATTGTTTGAGTAAAAAAGAAATGGGAGAAAAAACGTAGGACACAAACTAACCTGGTTGAGCTGTAAAACTGGGAGGATCATTCATTTTGAGTTAATCGCAATAATTCATTCATTTCACACAGCTTTTGCGCTTTTTTGCGGAAGTCAGAGGCGTTTTCTTTATTATTGTGGAGTGAGTGTGTTTTCTTTTTTATTCAGCCCAGCTATAGTTTTTATTGCGTGGGCTATACGCAGTCAATCTGGTCACAGCTTCGCGCAGGCAATTTCGTAAACTTGTTTTACATATTTTCTATGACTATTATCATATTTATATATATATATATATATTTTTTTTTTGAAATGCAACTATTATTTTTTTACTTTAAGTATAAAAGTTCGTTACTTATTAAAAAGTAAATTTCCATTTCTTAGGTATTTACTTGGCAACTTTTAACTTAAAAAACAAAATATCTATGTATAAAAAAACGAGATTACTTTAATTTCCTATACGAAAATTGAACAAAAGATATTAATGGAGCCATATCCACACATACATATGTACATACTATACATATTTAGTGAGTATGTAAGCATGTGTAGCATGTAGCATGTGTTGATAAACAATATTTAACTTTAACTTTAACCATAATTGTTATTGAAATTTCACTTTTTTACTTTAACTTTTTGATTTAACTTTATGCTTCTTCTTTTGTTTTATAATCATTCGAATCTGCTTTTGATTTATTGTATCTCAATGAAGCCTGGCTTAGCTGTGACACCGACCGCGGCAGCTGCCCTCTGATATGGATGATCTCTGTTAGCCAAACGTCTCTGCTGTTTAAGTGCGCCTACTAAAATACATTCGATATATACATAATAAGATTATTAAGTAAGAGCATAGAGTTTGTTTTTATTAATTAATAATATACTTCTTGTAATAGTGTTTATAGATATGCATACCTACATAATATGTACGTATGTATGTACATTTGTACATGTGTACTTCATACTCATATAAAAATAATTTCTCGTTATCAGAAAAGAGGTATACATACATACAATCGATTGTGCGCTACGTATTTAAAAATAAATTTTATGTATATCTAACAACAAAAAAATTTGGGAAAAGCTCTACAGACTTTTCTATAAAAAAAGCTACGTTTCTAAATTAAGAAGCGATCAGCTGCGTTGCATCTAAGGCTTTTCAGTGTGATAAAAAAAATTCACTGGGCTAATTTCGTTTAGTAGAAGGTTCTAATTAATTTTTTTTTATAAACAGCCAAAAGGGGTAATTATGAGTTTTAGTTTGACGGTAAGAAAAAAAAAAATTTTTTAAATATAAAACCATTTAAGATTTTTTATATACTTATGTATTCTTTGGAATGAATCGTATATGCACTATCTGTTTGATGTAAGTATTTATGCGTGTAAATATAAAAAGTTATTTATTTTAAAAATATACTATCTTGTGCTAATTTTTTCTCTGCGGCCAACTTCAACCAATAAGTGATTTCCAGTTAACCAAACTTAAAACTACCACTAAGTATGTCTCATAAAAAATACCTTAGCACTAATTGCAATCCTGTTTTTAGAAATACCTGATCTAAGTTTGAAAATTTAAAAAAAAAAACACTAAAATTCAATCTCAAAGATACTAAAAAATTTATATTAAAAAAAGTGAACGGATAACCATAGATAATGCATTTACATGACTAAGAAGCTAATCATTTGTAAGTTCGAGTTTTCTGTTTGACAACAGCTGAAGCTACCAAAGTTGATACCAAATTGTGTATGTTCATAGTAGTCTATGTAGTTTCTCATTGACATCGCGTTGCCGCCACCATCGCCTGAAATATGTTTCAAAACATTTGTATATTTTATGTTGGTTACTGCAAAGGTTGCCTCGGTTGTAGTCAGCAATATGTTTTCACTTTCCTTTGCAACCAATTATAATTGTTTATGTACTGCATTTTATTTTTACATCTATGGCGTTACTCCTATTGTTTTGTGTAGTAATTAACTTTGACTAGGAAACTTACTTATTTGGACGGATATCGGTGAGCTGCTTGCGTTTTATACAATTCATTACAGAACAATACAGATATTTTATGTGTATGTGTAAGCAATATTAAAATTGAGAATATATGTATGTATGTCTATGTATATAAATGTCTACACATGCATATATTGAATATAGTAAGTAATAAATAGGGCGCTATCCAGTTTTTATCAAAACTATTCAATTCTTTAGTTATAAGAAAAAACAACAATACTCTGAACGCCAAAGCTTCCTTCTTATAATACATAGACTAAACTTGTGAAAGCTCGTAGACTTTAAGGTGAAAGCTTCTAAATAACAAAAAAAAATCTCCATTTTTCGAAAGCTTTAGGCTATAATGAGTAACTATAGTATATATACGTTTTTATGTAGCACCATTGTGATTCGACGCCATTTTAAGTGTAAAACTAGAAAAATACTAAATTACTAGTTTTTAATGTAAAACTCCTTAACTATAAGAAGTATAATATGTAAACTATAAATATTAAATTTGCATACAAATATGTGCGTATGTATGCAAAACTGAGATTCTATCTCCGCCTTCTCTTTATGTGTTAAAACAATGGCACTATTTGGAAAAATGTGACGGGGAGAAAGTATGCTCACGAAAATAAAGTAGAGCTACAAGAAAGGAATAAAAGAAAAAGTGTAAAGAATAAGAAATTACTTAACTGGAATTTCCACTAAGTATTTGATAAAAGTCTACATATATTTATTATGTATAAATGTAAACTATTACGTTAAAAGATTAACGGAAGAAAATCAACAAAATCATAAATAAATAAAAAATATATAAAAATATATATATAAAAAAAAATACAAAATAAAAATTAAAAAAGTAGTCTAAAAAGAAATTATAATAAAAAATTACAATAACACAAGAAAATATAAAAAGTCAAAGTAAAAAAATATAAAAAAGTTAAAATAAAAAATATATAACAAAGGGAATAGAAAAAATGCGACAAAGTAAAAAACAAAAAATACAAAACGTGAAAATAAAAAAATATAAAAAATAGGAAGTAAAAAAAATAAGATTAATAGTAAAAAATAAAACAGAAAAACATAACAAAGTAAAAAATATAACACATAAAAAATACCTCAAACAGCGAAAACATATTACGGATATTAACACTTATTTCGTAACTTCAGCCCTTATAGATTTGCGTATTCATACGTATCATGTATCACGTATAATCACTGAACTCGGTTGTGGTTTTAGTTAAAAATTACTTGTTTGCCAATGTGTTTGCGCTGTACGGGGGTGCACACCCACGACTTGGTCAGTTTATGCAAAAGGTTGGAAAAAGCTTTCACATCTCTCCCACGGGTTTCAGACTAAGCAGTCTATCCTTGTTTTTGCTTAAAACTCTAAAGGGGCTGGTTGATTTTCATGTTACGAACGGGATCCTTCGTGATCACCTGTCAGGAGCTCAAGATGCATATATATGTATGTATGTTCAGCAATATATGTCGGTAGAGGGGGCCTTTAATAATGCACTAAATGAGACAATAGTCGGATCTCTGAATAAAGTTGGGGTCGAAAAAGACCTTGGCAGGCTCATATACCGCATGATCAGCGACAGAGTCGTCGCGGCCGTGGTGTTCTCTCACCTCCTCTGGGCTCACTTTTAGAGAGTCGACGGAGACGGAGGTCATAGTAATATCCACAGAAAAGAGAGAAAGGGCTTCTCTTGAAAGTAAATGGCTCTCAATTCTGAAGGATATGCTGACAGGTTACTATGCGACTGGGATTCACGCAGTGAGACTAAACAGCACACCGGGCCTTCTCTGTCACACCTGCATGGAGGACGTCGAGGTGGAATTATCTCAACACTTCCTCTTATGCTGCCCGGCCTTTGCTAGACTGATATTTAAACACCTGGAATAGGACTTTCTTCTAAATGGTCCGAAGGAACCAACCTGGACTAACGCTGTAGCCTAAAAGTTATGGTTCGTACTAAGTGAGCAACTATCTTAACTTAACCTAACCTTGCCATTTTGTGTTCATCTTTGAAGTGGGAACCAATGCAGTTCGAAAGCTCAGGTTTGATGCATTGAAAAGAGCGCAGCAAATTTATTCTTCCGACCTTTTCAACTCTCTGTAACAGATATTGTTTTATTTATATTTTTATTTTTTTTTATGTAACAAAAACGTCAAAGTTCCAAGTAACGAAAGGCTGAGTAGCCTAGCTTGGCAAATTGATTTGCAAATAGCAATCAGAACATAAAGGTGCAGCTATCCCCTATTAGCTTCTGCTGAAAAAAGGATAGGTGTTGAGTAACAACATTTGCCGAACTGCCAACCAAAGAGCTGCCGAAGTAACGAAATTCATGTGAATACCTCTATTGAAACAAAGGCATAAAATAAAGCGCATATGGCACTTAAAATTTTTTTAAGTTGTAAAATAATAAAATTAAAACACCTGCTGGTGTACATACATACACATACAGTGACAAGCAAAACTGTAGCCTGTTGCAACACTTTTTATTTCAGCCACCGCTATCTTTCGAAGTTCTAACGACTTTCATCCTTTTGACGATTTGAAGTCAATACAACAACAATAATAAAACCAGCAGACAAAAATGTACATAAAGGTAAATGTTTCAGTTTTGCACTCACTCTCAGTTTTGCATTTACAGTTATCTTTTACTTAGTTGGAAGTCATATGACTTTTTTGTATTGTAATTTATTGAAGAAGTGATCACCAGCAAATAATATGGTTAATCAGGAACCATAAATGTAAGTATGTAGATTTACTGCGGAAAGGCGGGACCGCAGGGAAAGTGGCAAAAAATTGTGGAGTATGCCATATGAAAATGTTAAGACTGACCAAAAAATATAGCCTAAAGTGTTACTAAGGACAAGGGAAGTCTGTCAAAAAATATTACGGTCCAATATCTTGTGAACTGAGCAGCAAGTAGCTATGCAGCCACTATTACAGAAGCACTTAAGGTATCAAACTTTAACAAATTCAGCGCAAAGGCATCATAAAAGAAGAAAAAAGCAAATTTGATCAAAATCGTTGTGCGAGTGTGGCAGCATTTTGCTGCATCGCGCGAAAACCTATTGGGATACGTTAGGCCTTTCAGAATGCAATAAAAAACACATTTTTAAGAAGGTTATTTAGTCTGACAAGACTAAATTAATCGCTTTCAATCAAATGGCCGGGCATGGTATTGGATCAAAGATCATGTAAGGCAAACTGTGAATCACAGTGGCCGGCCAATAATAGTTTCAAAAATTTTGTTGGTCCGTTAGTACGTATTATGCGTAAGGAACAGTATCTGTTCATATTTCAATAAAATTTGCAAGATGTATTCGAAAAAATTGAAAAACACACTGCACATGTTCGCAAAGACTGGATACAAAAGCAAAAATTTTCTAATTTGAAATGCCCTCCACATGAAGCATAGCTTACTAAGTATCCAAGTCCGTCCAATTGAATACATGAGCTGTGAAAGCAAACTAAGGACATATGGGAGGATATACCTCCAGACTTTTTACAGAGACACAAATAAGGTATGCCAAATCGCATCCAGGAACTAAAAAAAGCAAAAGGGTACTGAACATTGTGTTAAAAGTTATTTTTTTCGTGAAAATTGTAAAAAAGTTCTTAAAAATATATGAATGCTAAACTGTAACATTTGCATAAATTTACATTTTTGTCTGCTGGTTTTATTATTGTTGTTGGATTGACTTCAAATCATTATGAGGGAGAAAGTACAGGTGTACCAACCAATAAGAATATACAACAAAAGTCGTTAGAACTTGACAGATAGCAATGGCTGAAGTAAAAAGTGTAACACCGTGTTACAGTTTTGCCCGTCATATGTATATGCACGTATGTACGTACTTATGAATAAGCTTCGTATAAAAAGATATTTACTAAAATGTATGTATGTATATAAATATAAAATCGCCTAAGAGAATAAATTTTTTACGCCAAGCCCTAAATAAAAAAGATAAGTAGTAAGCTATATATTTATGCCAAGATGCATTTAAAAATACGACTGAAGATTTTAAGTAAATGTACAAAGACATATGATACACAGATTGAGTGAAAGATTCAAAACAAGGACTCAATACAGGTTCTTCGTAACTAGAATATACTCATTATACATTTTTAAGACTTAAAATGTTTCAGAGAATCCAAAGCAACATAAATACCTAAAATAAAACTAATTATTTATCTTAAATTGCACACAGCTGAAAATACGAGTAATAGTTGAGATTTATAATTTCTCAAGCCTTATCTATATTTATTACTGATATTCGCTAATTAAAAATCACTTATTGGTTTTCTAGTGCGAAATTTTGAGCTATTTGAACGGTGAATTAGGATTTATGTATGTCAGTTTCTTTGTATGAACTTTTAAGCCAATTTGCATATACGACGCCAAAAAAACTTTCTCACGATTGCTCAGTTATTAATTTAAACTTTTGTTTAACGTTTTATAAATTCATAAAAATTTACGCCTATCATTTTTTGTATTGAGTATTTATGTTGTTGTTGCCCCTAAAAATTAACTTTATGTATTTATGTATGTAATTATAAACTTATCACTTTTTACACAGAGTAAAATGTTTCTATTTTTCTTGTATGCAATAATCTTTTAAGTGGTTCCACTTTTGTTCACTTTACGAATTACAACAAAGCTGAACGATCATTTAAAACTTGCCAAAAAGCTTTTACATGTTTTACTTGTTTAAGGTATATGCATGTATGTATGTTTGTTTGTAAGAACTAAAATGTACAAATTTACTAAGCCTACTTCTTTATCCACGATTGCTTTTTCCCTTTATTATTCAATGGCGAAGAAAAAATTGCAATAAATTATTTAACAAGGGCTTGGGTGATAAAACGTTCAAAAGACGGAGCCGGCATGCAAATATCGGCCAACTGCATTAATGGAAACAACGAATTGGTTTATTTGTTTGTTTTTGTGTGTTCGAAATTGTTCATATGTATGTTGACGAATTTCAAAATCGGTTGATCATTTTTATAGAAAAAAGAAGGAAATATAAAAAACCAAATTATTATTTGTAAATATGTAAATCATAAACTTTTTTCAACAAAAAATATAAGTTTTTAGCGGGCTTTCAATAGTTTTAATGCGGATTAGTGTTTTTGTTGTTGTTTTGATTAGGCGTAGATTTTCAGTACTTTTAGAAAGCATTTTTTTAACTTTGATTAAACGGTTTAGTAAGGAAGCAGATGATTTATATGATTTTGTTATTTATTTAGCTTTTGTTACAGCTATTTGTATTATCATTATTATGATTAAAAAAATTTAAGAGGATTAGAAGAATTAAGGCATTTATTTTGGAATAATCTTCCTGATATTTCTGCTTTTGACTTTGTCACAAAAGCAACTCTGCAAAGGATTAGTGAGTATATTAAACAACCACGGTTTTAAGACTTTCTTTTCTATAGCAACGAACAAAATAAAAGTGTCTCTTATCATCGCTGTCGTAAAACAATGAGACAGAGAGAGAGAAAAAGAGAGAGAGAGAAAGATACAGAGAGAGAAAAAGAGAGAGAAAGATACAGAGAGAGGAAAAGGGAGATTGTGAAAAGGAGAAAAAGGAAATTGAGAATAAGAGCGAAAGAGGGAGATTGAGAAAAAGAGAGAAAAATTGAGAGGAAGAGAGAGAGAGAAACGGAGAGGGAGGGAAAGAGAGAAAAAGGGGGAGAGAGAGAGAGAGAGAGAGATAAAGGGAGAGAAAAAGGGAGAGAGAGAAAGAGAGAGAGAGAGAAAGAGAGAGAGAGAGAGAGAAAGAGAGAAAGAGAGAGAGAGAGAGAAAGAGAAAGAGAGAGAGAGAGAGAGAAAGAGAGAGAGAGAGAGAGAAAGAGAGAGAGAGAGAGAGAAAGAGAGAGAGAGAGAGATAGAAAGAGAGATAGAGAGAAAGAGAAAAAGAGAGAGAATGTGAAAAGGAGAGAATGAGAAAAGGAGAGAGAGATAGAAAGGGAGAGAGAAATATAAAGGGAGAGAGAGGTGGAAAGGGGGAGAGAGAGAAAGGGAGAGAGAGAAAAAGGGAGAGAGAGGGAGAGAAGAGATAGAGAGGGAGAGAAGAGAGCGAGAGGGAGAGAAGAGAGAGAGAGGGAGAGAAGAGAGAGAGAGAGAAAGAGAAGAGAAGAGAAGAGAGGCAAAGGGTGAGAGAGAGAGTGGGGAGAGATAGAAAGGGAGAGAGAGTGAGAAAGGGAGAGAGAGAAAGGGAGAGAGAGTGAGAATGGGAGAGAGAGAAAGGGAGAGGGAGAAAGGGAGAGGGAGAGAGAGAGAGAGAAAGGGAGAGAGAGAGAGAAAGGGAGAGAGAGAGAGAGAGAAAGGGAGAGAGAGAGTAAGGGAGGGAGAGAGAAAGGGAGAGAGAGAGAAAGGGAGAGAGAGAGAAAGGGAGAGAGAAAGAAAGGGAGAGAGAGAGAAAGGGAGAGAGAGAGAAAAGGATAGAGGGAGAAAGGGAGAGAGAGAGAAAGGGAGAGAGAGAGAAAGGGAGAGAGAGAGAAAGGGAGAGAGAAAGAAAGGGAGAGAGAAAGGGAGAGAGTGGGGAAAGGGAAAGAGATAGAAAGATAAAGGGAGAGCGATAGAAAGATAGAGAGAGAAAGAAAGATAAATAAAGGCAAAGGGAGAGAAATATAAAGAGAGAGAGAGAGAGAGATAAAGAGAGAGAGAAAGATTAAGAGAGAGAAATAAGGAAAGATAAAAACACAGAGAGAGAAGGAAAGGTAAAGAGAGAGAGAGAGGGAGTTTTATCCTGTGCACGTCCAAGCAAAACGTTTTAAAGGCTTAACCAAGCTTGGCACAGAGAGAGCTTTTACTCTGCAAGCGAGTACGCCAGTTATAATCTAAATATATCTCAAGACAAAAGCTTTTTAAAACAATCAATAAATCTTATGCGGGCATAACGCCCTCTCTGATCGTCCCTGCTCTAAACAAAGTGTATAAAAAGCTAAAGAAAAGCACTAAAAGCCGATAACCCCTAACAGTTATGAACAGAGGGAGCTTTTACTAAATAACTACCAATCAGTGATGCTCACATAGAGCTTTTTCCATAAAAAATCTACGCAGGGCTTTAAGGATTTCCGCCCGTGGGTACTCTTTTGAGCATCACTGCTATAAATAGAAAACGTATATTTTTCTTATTCTTATAGGAAGTTTTAAGAAGTTCAGCTACGGAGCAACGATGACTTGATTTTGTCCTTACAAACCAGTTTACTTTTTGCAATCGCAATGTGTATTAGCCGCTCACTACTCCAGGTTCGGTAATAATGCTTACTCGAGCGGCAAATGGCTCTCATCCCAGAAAAAGATTTTGCTCGAAATGGGCGAAATTGCAACCACAGACATGTCACACCTGTATTTCGCGAGAATAGTTTAATAAATATGACGCGTTTTTCGGTCATAAAACGTACCAAATTGTAAAATGGTGGGTCGATAGAAACATTTGATAAATATCAAAGGGCTTTACTTTCATAAAAACAGCCTAGATCACACTTTACTTGTATTCTTCTAACCTATGACCTAAAGCAAAAAGCGAGTGGCTAGCAAAAACTATTTTTCCATAAAAAAAATCTGGTAAGTAGATTTTGATCATCCTCCTTCATACATTATACATATATGTACATAACTCACTATTGTTCTAAACTCATTTTCACTAAAGCAGAGTTGCATTTGTTACCGACCCTACAGTGTTCTAAATGGCACATAAATGACAAGTATAAAAAATTAAGTGCTTTTAATTACTAATCTTATATACATCCTTGTACTTCCATGTACAAACACAATAAACTATCAATAAACAAAAAAAAATAATAATAATAAGTAAGTATATAACAAACAAGAAATAAGTACATATATTCACAAGCTTTTTTGCATACTGATTCAGATATGAAACTGGGTTCATAGTGTATATTAAATGCAAGCAAAACGGAAAACAAAGAGAGCATAACATTGAAATACATACGTAAATAACTGCGGTTGCGAAATCTACTTCCGCCTAGAAGGATTTGGTCTATAAATGAGTTTAAACCGATTTTAAGAGTATTCCACAGGGTGAACCATATTAAACAATCGCATTGCAAACCAATACTTGGAGCTGTAATAACTTATGCTTTTCCTTTTGAGATTAAACGATTTCAACGCTTATCGTTATCAACGCAAAGGTATATTCTATGTACAGATCGGTGTATAACATATTCTTATCATTTAATTTTCAATAATGTGGTTCCTGACTCATGTTCTCCACATAAATAGATGGTATAGATTTGAATATTCACTACAATAAATACAATCTGTAAAGCTCCACTTGAGAGTTTCTAATTACGATAAATTTTGAAAAGGTTTCATGTAGAGAATTTTCGAGTAAATTAAGATTCTTTTTTGTGATCATAAACGAAAACGAAATTACAATCGTACAAAACAAATGCCAATTAAAGAGAGATATGTACATCGCACACCGTCTTCAAAAGAGTCACAACTCAAAATAATACGTTCGT